AGGATCTGGAAATTGTTGTCTGCGGTCAGTGTCACTGATTTAGACAGTATCTCCCAGCTCTTCTTTGGATGATTCTTAACTATGATCTTCACATCGAGAGCTGCTCCAGAGTAATCCTGAGCCTCCACAAACAGGTTCTCTGAGGAACCCACCCTCAGCAGATTAGGAGCCGACAGAACAAACCTGAGGAGATCAAATCAGAGCGTTTGAGAACAGATCTGTTAGTGAATCCATGAACAAACAGTGTGTTTGATACTCACAGCGGGTCACATAGTGTGAGGAGCGGTGAGGAGAGCAGAACAACAGTCAGAAACAGCAGCTTCACCTCCATCCTGACTGTCTGTGTGTGTCTTCCTGTGAGCGTCTGTGAAGCTGCAGCAGCTCCGATTTATACCCGCCTCCACCACCCTCAGAGTCCAAACTGCACGCTCTCTCAGTCTGTTTGTTTGCATTTGTTTTATAAATAAATGGACACTTAAGTTCACCAATCGACAGTCTAACAGTATAGCAAATTATAATTATGCTTGAAATAACTGTTTTCTATTTTTATAGATTTTATGAATCAAATATAAATCAAATCTGTTGAATTCATGTAATAAAGAAAGCTCAAATTTCACACTTGTTCAGAGACTAAATAAAGCTGCTGTCAGTAAAACTGAGTTTAGTTTTGTGAATCAAACAGGAGATTCATAAAGAGCAGAAAAGGAGGTGAAGAGTTCACTGCAGTCCAATTCAGATTTCCTGTAAATGACCTGCAAAAAACAGTTGTGTAAATTCAACCTTTGGTAAATTGGCAGCTGCTCTGTTGATCTTTTAAAGGTCGAAGGAATGAATAAATAGCATATATCCATAAAAATATGTCCCAGATGTTTCAGCTCAATACCTGTGCTTTTGTGTAAATGAGGTTCAAATGAGTTCTCTATTGAAATGACAAATGGAAGGACAATAAAGTTTAGAAATGTCTGAATAAACCAGCCAATATCTGTATCTGTGTATCCATTTTATTAACTGTGTATATTATAGTATATTGCATTATATTGCATCACATTATATTATATATTTGTTTTGTATGTCATGTTTTAATTCATAAAATGGAATAATTTGATATTTTTATCTTTTATAACTTCATTAGTATACTGTATATGATAAACAGAGACAGAACACACAGAACAGAGATCTTGAGCGTAACTGCAGGAGTTTATGTTTGGCATGCGCTCTGGAGGCACAAACCTTTTTTTATGGTAGACTAGGAGTGCCATTTACATTCAAGGAAAAAATATTTCATTTATTAACTTTTAATAATTATTTTTTTGAAACAAACCACTTTACAAACTGACTAATAGATATACATATAAAAAGCATTGTATGTTTAAAATGTGGTTACATCAATTATAATAAATGGTTTTTAAATGGCTAAGCAATCGCCAACTGCTGACTGTGGGATGATCGTAATGAATAATGGTGTGAACATAAGAAAGCAGTAATATTGGTGATGAAAGAGAGACTGGTTTGAAATTCTCTGACATGACGTTGACAGTGTTTACAGCACAGCTCTGCTGAAAAACATCTCTGAGAACAAAATTACCTTCAGTACGTTGTAATGTGTTAAATGATTAAGGATTGTATGTATGTTACATGTAAGTTACCCCCTGTAAAACATATCCACCTGATTATGCAGTGCAGATGTAAACTGTTTTCTGTGAATGTGCAAGACTTTCATTTCATTGGCTGCTTTATAAGAGTAACAACTGAACAGAATAACAAGTGCAAAACTATTTGCATTATATACAAGTGTGTTTATAATTATGATAATATTTTAAAATTATATGATAACAAACATCAGTCTGTATAAATCATCATAACAAACTGTTTATGCACAGCTAAAATAACTGGAAGTTGATGAGACCAGAAGCCTCGCACATTAGTTACAAATGATGCAACTCATCATTTTTGCAATTTACAAGTTTTGGCCAAAATAATATAATTTGGTCTCAAAAAAACACCAGTTGGTTTGTAAAAAAAAGCACTTGTTATACAATTAATGAATGCATCCTACTTTAGCAAGTGTATTAACGAGTTCACTGATGCCGATGTATCTCTGCCTGTGTTCTGGAGTTTGACTTTCCTCTCTTGTAGGTCAGTATTCAACCCAGGTCTGCTTTCCAAAAACATATTGAAGACTAAAACAACAGCAACGTGAAGACAATACTGTTCATGTATAAAGCAGAAATCTTGCTGGTATTATTAAAAAACCATGAAGGACATTAAACACATAAACCACCCAAATCCAGTCATTTACAAACAGACACTCGATGGACACCTATAGTGTTTTCAGCATCAGTACAAGTGAGAATTGTAGAAACTATGAAAACTAATGTTTTACTCAAGTCTGGCACAGAAAAAAAAAATTCCCACATGATTCTCCATTCATTGAGCCTTCAGTTTGACCTCTTCTGGACGCATATTTGCTGTAATACCAGGCTCCACTTAATCTAATAGTCATAATGAGTTCATTATAAATCAAATATAACATTTTTTTTTCTGTCTGTCTGTCACGCCCCTGGACTTTATCTGTGTGTTTTTGAAGAAAGGTTAGCACTTGGAGCAGGTCATAGGAATTCGGGAGCTGGCTTTGTGCTAAACACAAGTCACAGTAGACTGACCACTTGAGATCGTAGAGACGTCTGTAGACGGAGCTCTAGCCTCTAAAATGGTGTTGGTGACTCTTGCGGTGAGCTGGCTAGACTCCCGTTGAGGGGCCAGACATGGAGGCTCCACAGCTCTGGATGGGGATACCAAATTTTAACCTGCGCATGCGAGAGAAGGTCTCTCCTCAGCGGTATCTGCCACGGTTCTTTTGAAAGCAGCTGATTAATCTCCGGGAAACAAGATTGGTTCCCTCAGAGTGGGGCCACCAGGAGGAGAGAACATTTAGTTTCTCTGACTCGCCTGATAACCCAAGGGAGCAGAGCGATTGGAGGGAACGCATATAAATGGGTGTTGGGCCAATCATGGGCCACAGCATCCCGTTTTGTTGAAAAATAGATTGGGCAGTGACACTTGCCTTAGGAGGCGAAGAGCCTTGCCTTGCCGAAGTCTGGCCAAATCATCTGAACCAACTGGGGATGTAGTCTCTATTCTCCTGGGGTAACATTGTCCCTGGACAGCATTTCTGCTCCTTGGTTCAGTTTGACTAGCACATGAACCGCTCGTAGTGAGAGGAGTTTGCTCTGTGCTCAAAGAAGGAGACACCAAGTCATCCTGTAAAAGGAATGTGACCTTTGCGATTGATATAGGCTATCATAGTTGTGTTGTCTGACCAGACCAAGACACGGTACCCCTTTAAAGCTGGCAGGAAGGTTTTCAGTGCCAGACAAACAGCCGACATTTCAAGGCATTTGATGTGTAGGTGCTGCTCGTGAATAGACCAGTAGCCGAACGCCCGATTGCCCTCGTACAGAGCACCCCAGCCCGAGTTGGAGGCATCTGTTTTGGCCCAGACACATCTAAATTTGATGCCGTCAGTGACAGCATTCTCTTTCAATGCGTCTAAAAAATCAAACCGCTCGTTACCTGTGCCGGCGTGCGATCACTCAAGCTCAGTTGCTCAGCCCCTCGACTTCACTGTTACATCCGGTGATGTAACGTCCCAGGCAGCTGGGAGAGGAGAAACGTGAAAGCGGGAGGAGCAGGGCCACCTTCATTGAAGAAGGTGAGCCGCGAGCGTAGCAGGGATAGACTCATGTCTTCACAGTGAAACAGCCTGTCTCAGTGAGCCCAGTGAGTGCAACGTCTCTAGGAAATTTGCTCAGAAATGTTTAAAAGCCTGATGGCTGCAGGGGAGTCTTCGTCCTCTGCCAGGGCTTTTCGACGGCAATGAGCAGAGCTGAGCTTCTTCCCTTCCTCTTCTTCATCTTCTTGATTGCAGAGTCAACAAAAAGATGATCCTCGTCACTGAAGGAAAAGATTCTGATGAAATGACGCATTTTAAAATGAAGTTTTGTTTTTCAATATTTTTAATTTTTCACATTTATTTATTTTTTATAATTTTTAAAAGGTAATTACATTTTTTACATTATCTAATGTGTTTTGTGACTTTAAAAAAAATTAATACCTGTTTCCTCTTCAGGAACTCGAGCTGTGTCGGAAGACTCTTAGGGAACGCCCTTCAGCGTGACCGGCTCTGAACCTCGTGTGTAATCAGACCAATAGATGGGCGAGATGTCACGGGCGGGTGATGTAATGACCAGGAGGCTATAAAAGCATGTGCGGCGAGACCAGCGTCAGCTTTTTGTCATTCAGCAAGCGCTCTGTGTGTGTGTCAGTCTGATATCTGTTTGTGAGTCTTATTTAGTGTTGTCTGTCACAAATCTAAAAACAAGACAAAACCATTCACCTAAGGCGAGGGCAGGCAGCATTCAGGCTGTGTGTTTCTCCCTGCCCGCGTTACTTTACGGGTGGGGATGCACATAGATTGTTTGCTGTCTGCTTGGGAGCAGAGTCAGCTCTCGGAAAAAAGGAGCTGACGGCCCGTTTTGGTAGCGTTTGTTACTGCCGTGCTTCGCTCTCAGAGGGCTCTCTTTGAGGAGAGAGCCTTCACTAGCGTTTCACACGGTGCCGGCCCCGCTTTCACCGAGGCGGAGCGGCGGCTGTGCTCGTGGGTTTCGCATATGGATCCGGTGGAGGGAATGTAGACGGGCGCGTCCCTATCTACTTCCAGCGCCCGCTCTCGGGGTTCAGAAGCCCCCACCGGGGAGAGGGCGCAACGCTCAGCCTGTCTTTCTCCGAGGAGATTGATATGGAGGGCGTCGAAGAGCTCGCCAGTTTCACAAACATCAGTTACACTAACATCAGTTACACAAGCATATTATGCCTGATATTATAATAAGCAGCCTCAATGGGGAGCGGAGCTCGCGCAGTCGGCTCTCGGGGGGCGGATTGTGCTTTTACCGCTGTTAAACGCTCCGCTCTCACCGGGCACGCTCCGAGGAGTCTGTCTGTGCCTGTGATCTTGCGATTGCGGTCCCGCTGCTGCTGAGGCACGGCAGCGACTGAGATCGCGGTGATCACACATGATCT